GCCGGCCTTGTTGGCATTCACCACACCCCACGAAACCAAAACGGAAACTGAACACCTGTCCAACCGAAAATGAAAACATAATATGTAAACAACCCGCTTTATGGGCGATCAACTATATGACAGCACAATACATGATCTCCTGCGCCCATCGCCTGCCCTTTCGACCATGCATCTGTCCATCCGTCCACGCATTCATCCATGCAGCCGTCCGTCCATCTTTCCATCCATCTGTCCATCCATCTGTCCGTTCTTCATAGTAGTCAGCGACTTCAACGTGAACATTATGCACCTTATCACATATAATTTTGCTCACTCGTGATCACTCATCTCGTGGTGATGCACTTATTTTTCTTCACACTCTCCAATCGAAAATAGCAATCATTGTTCGCGTCATTCCTTCGTTAATGAAAACTGTCAATCACTTTCTGTGCAGTGCGCTTAGCTACAGTAGATCTTAACGTGACGTGACGGCTGTATTGTAGGGGCACATTCAATGTTTACTAATTGCATAGCTGTCACTGCAACCCCCCTTAGACGCTTCACGAATATTACGGCCTGTTTGTAAAGCAGTTGTGAGGCCCGGTGTTCTCTGAGGTCGAATGCTTGGTTGCCACTAGGAATGCAGGCGCCAGATCTATGCTTGGACCCTGACGTATATTTCGACATTCGTCGGGGCAGCATAGCCGATGTCAGCTTTTAGGGTCGAAGCCTCTCAAGCTGTGGGCAATGCGTCATCGATGTACGTAGTAGGTAGTCACCTCTCGATTAGTTTTGGTATGTCCGCTATGTGGCGGTGCTTGCTTATGATAAATGCGATTCGATATGAGTTGAAGCTTGCTAAGTTACGAGTCAAATCATCCAGGAAAAGCAGACATAGGCCCAAGAGCTGGTGAAATGAGGAAGTTAGGAGAGACATAGTAAGACGCCAGTAAGCCTCCAGGGAACACAGGTATGCTAAACAGACGGATGAACCGGAAGACGGTGCCACTATAAAATGGGATAACTTTTTAAGTTGCAAAAGGAAGCGTCCGATTTAATCAGTGAAAAGATAACAAGAAAGGGGGCCCAATAGATGGCGGAAGTAAAGAAAAGTATGGAAAGGCAGCTGCAGAGTTTTCGAACCATCTCAATGCACTGAGTAATAAGACAAACATGAAACAAGAGCTTCTAACTACAGTTCAAGGGGTCAGAGTAGAAGAAGATGAGGCAATGGAATGTATAAAAACCATGATGAAAGACAAAATAAAGCCATAAGAAAGTGCTGCGTGCACCGTATTAGATGAGGATGGACCAATTAGCTCGGTGGCTACACTGGGACAACGAGAGAGAAAAAAAACAGAGAAAAGGGTTCCTAATAGAACACCAACAGGCCCTGATGACATCCCAATGATGCTAAAGAAACTAGCACCAAACTCTAAGCAAATATTAGGAGAGGAAGCGAGCAAAGCAATTATGGATGGTTAAGATCCCAATTGGTGAAAACTAAGCAGGATGAGCATGCTCTATAAAGGAAAAGGAGACAAAGCCGATATAAACAACTACCGTTCTATAACACTGACATGAATCGTTTATAGGGTGGTGATGCATATAGTTAAGGAAAGGACTACAGACATGGGCGGAGAATGAGGTGGTGCGGGGAGAACTGCAAAATGGGTTCCGTTAACGAAGGAGGCTTGGAGGACACTCTGTTTTCATTGATGCAGTATATTTGATAAGCGGTAAAAGAGCCCAGGCCCCTGTGGCTGGCATTTCCAGATATCAAGGCAGCTTACGATAGCGTGATTCAAGAAGGCTTGTGGGGAATACTGGACACACTAGATGTGGAAAATGGAATAACCAATCTTCTGAAGGATATCCATAAAATCAACAAGGTAGTTATCAAATGGGAAGAACATGTATCTGAACCTATAGAGATACAACGTAGGCTTCGACAGGGTTGTCCCTCGTCACGTTTGTTATTTATGGTGTATATACCAGGACTAAAAGCCAAATTAGAGGGGAGCCGACTCAACTTTGGCCTCTATTTTGCCAAGAGGAAAACATATGGAACAGTCATTACATGCATTGATGTATGAAGATGATAAAGTATTAATAGCCGACAACAAGGAAGAGCTGCATGGATTGATAGACATCTGTGGTAATGAGGTAGACATGTTAAATTTGAAGTTGAGCAGGCAAAAATAGGCAATCATGATTTTCAATGATAACAAAGGCAGTGAGCATAAGATACAGGAAGTCACGCTAGAAATAGTGAATAAACACAAATGTTTCGGCGTATGGATAAATAACGGTGCTGAATATCTAAAGGAGCACGAAAGATACGTAATGACTAAGGGCACTGAGAATGCAGCTGTAATGAGAAATAGGCCACTGTGGAACTACAATAGGTTTGACGTTGTAAAAGGGATTAAGAAGGGTGTCATGGTTCCGGGTCGGAAGTTCGGCAATGCGGTCTTGCGCATGAAATGAACAGTTCAAGCAAGATTGGAAATTAAATAACGGGGCCTAGGTAGACTTTCTTTGGGAGCACACATGAATACCTCAAACTAGGGGGTACTGGGTGACATGGGATGGACATTGTTTGAGTGCAGGGAAGCTATCAGTGAGATAGAATTTGAGAAGCGATTGAGAACAGTTGGAGAGTAGTGTTGAGCTAGGAAAGTTTTCAGCTACTTGTACATAAAGAATGTTGACACTAAATGAGGAAATCGAGCTCAAAAATTTCAAGCAAGTATTTATACAAGTATTTAGCAGAATACCAAACGAAAAGGAAACATCGGTTAAGAAGAAGGTGAAGGAAACCGAAAGGGACATGTGGAACTTGAGACTGCTTACGAAATCATCACTGGAGACCTACCAAACTATTAAGCAGGAAAATTGGAAGGGAAACGTTCTACGATAATTCTCGGGGTAGTTGTCTGCTCTTCGAGGCTAAAAAGGGAGTATTGCGGACCAACACGTACCGAGCCAAATGCGAAGGCACAGACATGGTAGGTAGTGCGTGTGAAGAGGAGGAAGAAACGGCTGAGCATTTGATGATGTTCTTTAAAGGGCTCCGCCCTATAGTCGAAGATAATGGCGCCGACTTTTTTCAAAGCATTGCGGTTAAAGGCAAAATACACTTTTATAGACATATAAGGAAATAGATTTTAATGGGTAGAAATAACCAAGAGGAGGCTAACTCATTGGTGGCTACAATCGAGGCGCGAGTGAAATTCAATCCTTAAACACATAGTAATAGTGCTTAACTTCATGGCTAGGTGGTGTGAGCCACCACCTGATCTAAAGGGCACAGACGGATACATTCATCCAATATGTGGTGAAAAGATGCGAGACGGCGGTACATGGAGTGTTCACTAGATGGATGGATGGATGGACGGACGGACGGACGGACGGACAGACGACAGACGGACGGACGACAGACAGACAGACAGACAGACAGACAGACAGACAGACAGACAGGTACACGAATGGGCGGACAGATGGACTATTTATAAATTACCGGTATAAACCCTCCCAAGCTTCACCCCACTCATCTTCATTCACTCTATGGTTATGCTGTGATTTTCTGTGATAGAAGATAGAAATTACTACTGGCTGAGTCAGTTCCAAGTGTGCCCAAAGAAGTCTCATTAGTGCTACTTATGACATACTGACAAGGATGAATTAAATTATGTGTGAGACAGCAAACTCCACACAAGATGCTCGAGTTTCAAGTGACGCAATTAGGCTACTTAAGCTTAAATGAGCTCAACGAACCAATGTAAGCATAGACAAATCTAATTAATCATACTTGAGCATGACATATCCTGATTAAGAATAGCTTAGTTGAAATTTACGTGTGAAACCAGAGTGGAAATTCTAAAATGGCAAGTGAAGCCCAGCTAAATGAACCATAATTTCTAGTGACCTCTAGAGGTGATCATAAATAGGTACAACTGTGTATAACTAGTGCTAATTAGGACAGTGTAACTAACAAGTATAATACAAAGGTTCTCTGATGGAGCCCAGCGCACCCCATATGTCAGAGTTGTAAAGGTGTTTAATTAGGCCTAATAACCAAAATATTATGATCATCTCTGGATACGCGTAACTGAGATTGAGCCAAACCACCACTAGCTAAGCGACCACCTCTTTCATTGCGGTTGAGGCTTGACGCTGTAGTGCAAGCTGACCAGATTTCTTCTTTACTTTCGGGTAAGCCTATAAAAGACCACAAATCAACTCGTCTGCTACTGAATGACTTTTCCGCTACTAAACAGTCCACCACCGTAGAGCAATGGTTAAAATGCTCGGCCGCTGACTCGGACATTTGGGTTTGATCCCGGCCGTGACAATCGCATTTTGATAGCCACTACACTTTCGCACGATGTGCTGTGTGATGTCGGCACACGTTAAGAGAATATCAGATAGTCAAAATTTCCAGAGGCCTCCAGTATGGCGTCTTTTAACCATATCGTTGTTTGGGAACGTAAAACGACAGGGGTTGGTCTTATGAATTCTTTATCCCGCGAGCACAAAGGTGAAGTGCTTACACAATCGGTGCCCGACCCATTCATACTGCTACACATTAAGACACATTACCGTGGCTTTGACACCAAAAAAAGCCTAAGAAATGTAAGTACAGATTAGATGGTGCTATAATCGATGAATGAGCTATATCAAAATGATGTCCTCATTTTTTATGACCATTGAGTTGAGAAAACTGCACAGTCAAATGGAAACCACAGTAAATGAAAGGCACTCCTATCAGCGACATTGAAACTGCATGGGCATTGCTTGAACATCTCGCCCACGCAGGGAGATAAGAAAACGTGAGGGTAACACGCACGCCAAGCACTTGAGCTTACGAAATCCACGCCGGAGAAACTGCGTTTCAGAGCAACCATGTCTCACAACCGAATGCCACTCCCCCTCTCCGCCATATGAGCTGATAGAGGGAGTGTCGCCCTGGACGAGGGGTGATATCTGTCGAACGATTAGGCTACACAGATTCTGATAACAACAGGTATGTCTCATGCCATGCGCGCTGCTATATACGCAGAAGTTTGGGCATTGCGAGTTGCACGAGGAACTACTTCCAGGAGTATTTGATACCACACGAGCTGACCACACCTCCCTTAGTGACAAACGCCGTGGTTGGCTTCGGAGAATGGGAACAGTGTCGATCGCGAGGCATTCAAGTGTCCTTCTGCTTTTCGCTGCGCTAGTTTCTGGAAAAGGTGAGGCCCATAGGTTCTGGTGATTGAGAACTCTCGCTTCAATGAAGTACACTTCATTGGAGAGAGATTTACTGAAAAGATTTATTAAAAACTCTATTTACTTCGTAAATAGAGCTTTTCAGATACTTTATTGTTGCAGAATACGGCTCCGTGGGCCGAATTCCGCACTATGGATATACGCAATGATAGAAAGTTGATGAACTTTACCAACGATAAGTCCAGCCAAGTGGTGAAATAGCCCGATTGGTCAGAGGATCATTATTTGTCAGACGACGGTATTTGTGCATAAGTGACAAGAAACTGAAAGTTGCTCCTATTTTTGTGACGTTTGCTTAGTGCAAAAGCCTGTCACTCTCGTAGAATATATGTGGGGAGGAAGGGCCGGTAACCAACATTGTATTATTTCAAGGGTTTAGGTCTTCGTCATTGATGAAGAAATATTTTAAATGACAGTCATGACTCTTTTTTGCAGAACCCGTAGTTTCGCCGCATTTTTTCTAAAAAAACTAAATAGGAGAAAAACATTCTTGGGGGGTGGGGTGGCTAGAAGGAAATGGGATAGATTAACAGGAGACTAAATTAAGGTTGAAGACTATACGCCACATAAAGCTTTTGGTATCTAGTGCCAGTTAATGGCACGGCGCTTGATACAACTTCTTAAAATTTCCTCCAGAGTAGTCCCCCTATTATTGAAAGCACGTTTGCGAGCGCATAATTAACGTTTCTTGCAATTTCCGTCAACGTATGATCGACTGCATAAATACTTGAATTTTATTCAAGGCTCGCTTACTTTCATTCCCACCTTATTTAGTGCCAAGAGGGCGGAGGGGTCGCCATACCCACATCCTTTAGGTGACTAATGGCGCTTGGCCAGTCCTTTTAACCTAAAGGAGGGGGGGGGCGCAAACACTTCCCCTGTACAATGACTTAGTAGGACAAAGGAGGGAGCAGCGATAAGCCTTCACCATTCTATTCCACCCACCTGATGGGGAGCTCAGCGCACGCCTACGCACCCATTTACTCGGTCGTCGACAAACGTGCTATTAGTAAACGACATTGATGAACTTGCCTTGGTTAACGTGATGATAACTGAAATAGTAATATTTGACGAGGAAATGCAGTAAGCCCAAGAGAGCACGACAAGTGACTGCGAAATTCCACTAGCCACAAGGCGAAACAATAAGCTCATATATAATCTTTTGTAGGTGAAACGGCAACTCTGCTGTAAATAGATGCGAGAGCTAATGTGTATGAAAAGCACGATCAACAATACCGGATATGACTATATACATATACTGAAAGGGAGCTTGAAAATGGAAGAATCAAGAGCGTTTGAGTTTTTGGGATTGGCGATAAGTATTTATTGTCGTAGTTGTAGAACCAATGCTTAAAAAGCATTCGAAAATAATTACTGCATTATTACGACATAAGAAAAGTCTGGGCTCACACTGAATAATAAACGTCCTTGTCTGTTTGGCTGTGGGCTCATACTGAAGGAAAAATTCTTCAAAAATGTAGAATGGTGAAGGTAGGACCAACAAACAGTCTGCTAGCTAAAAAAATAATACCAGACAGTGGTCTTGATGATTGAGCTATGCAAGCAACAACCTGTGGTGTTTATGTGCTTGTGAGGGTCACTTTACGCTACCTTAAAGTTAGCATTGGGGAGCGCGCTTCTCTAATTCGTTACTTAGAAATGCCAAAATGAAGCCGCAACTACGCTGGCCGTTCTGACCCCTGTTCTGAGGTCTTGTGGCGTCTACATGATACACTTTTCCTGTGTGTGCTTTTAAGGTGGTGGAAACGAAACGTATTGCGACAAGCAGGACGTCGCTGTGTGCTACTGGGGCTTTGCTGACAGGTTTGGGAAAATTCCTCTTTTAGGACGTAAGGACAACAAAACGTCCTATTTGACAAACCTGTGCTTGAGGTAAGATGTGCGAAGTCAATTGTCAGTATAGTTTTTGCCGTAAATGTTGATTTGGTGATCAATTTTTCATGCCTCAAACCTTCGAACGATGTGTGTGCTTATGGAAGACGTAAGTTGGCTAGAACCTTTCGCGGAACGCTGTATCCTTGTTGCGAGGGCGTTCTAGCCAACTCTTCTGACGGAGACAGAATGTCGAGGACCGAATTCTGCTACGACTAGACCTTCGCGACGAAGGAGCCTGCCAAGGATGATTTTAGAGTTCAATATCTTAGTTAGACACAGCGCTAATGTTGACCGACAGAGAATGAATTCAAGGATTAATTCGGAGCAGAAGTGGGAAGAAATAAGAAAAAAGACGCCCACATCTCCCCACAGAGGGAATTCGAATAAATGCGTCGCTGAGCGGTGGGGGTATCCCAAGCATGTTCTGTAATCGTATATGATATGACAATGCCTAATTTGTAATTCATCATTATTGTTATCTATTGAATGAAGGTGAAGTGTTGCCTTCAACGAGGGGTGGGAAGCTGATGTTTGGCTGTGTGCCACTACTGGTTTAAGATGCTGTTGCTTCCATCATATCTACTCGAGTCGGCAAAAGCTTCAAGCGAAAGCTTAATCCCAACTCGCGACCCAGTTACAAATACGAAGGGGCGAGTGAATAGTTGTGCAACGCATGCAGCCAGTTTCTTTGAATGCGAAGAAAGTCTTACTTCGGCGACTTGAAGCGTATCTATCTATCTATCTATCTATCTATCTATCTATCTATCTATCTATCTATCTATCTATCTATCTATCTATCTATCTATCTATCTATCTATCTATCTATCTATCTATCTATCTATCTATCTATCTATCTATCTATCTATCTATCTATCTATCTATCTATCTATCTATCTATCTATCTATCTATCTATCTATCTATCTATCTATCTATCTATCTATCTATCTATCTATCTATCTATCTATCTATCTATCTATCTATCTATCTATCTATCTATCTATCTATCTACTATCTATCTATCTATCTATCTATCTATCTATCTATCTATTTATCTATCTATCTATCTATCTATCTATCTAGAATCTCGTCAAGTACGTAATCAAACCCTTTCTTTCGGACTCATGTTGTACATACATGTCGTAATCAAAACATGTAGGAGGAGGAGGAGGAGGAGGAAGAAGGGAAGAAATGAAAGGCAGGGAGGTCAACCAGAAGCACGTCCGGTTTGCTACCCTGCACTGAGGGAAGGGGTGAGGGGATTAAAGGAGAAGAGGGAGAGAAGTGGAGGGCAACGTGTGTGTAGAGGTGACCTTGTCCATTGCACGCTTATAAGCAGTCGCGTAGTCCGGTCGTCTTTAGAAAACTTAGCAATGCCCGCATCGCTTTGCTGGCCTGCGACGCGCAGAGCCATGAACCAAGGATTTTCTCTTCGAAAAAAAGTCTACTGTCTAGTCTCTCTAACGTTTCGCGTAGCAAGTTGCGTTCGCTCGCAAAATGTTTGCTTGAATACAGTACATGTTCTATTGTCTCGTCAGTGTCGCACGATTCACATTGGGAGCTATCCGCCATTCCTATGCGAAAGGAGTACGCCTTTCTAAAAGCTACACCTAACCACAGGCGGCACAGTAAAGTTGCATCCTGGCGGGAGAGGTCCGATAGAACTTGAAGCTGTCTCGATGGGTCCAATTTGTGTAGGCGGTGGTTCCTGACACTGGGGTCACTCAGCCAGGTTTCCGACACGGTGTTAGCGAACGAGTGAAGGCCCCTTGCAGCGTTGGTGCTCGACAATGGAATTGTGGTTGTCTGGGCGTCCTTGTGGGTGGATCGAGCAGCATTATCAGCAAGGTCGTCACGGACAATACCACAATTCCCGGTAACCACTGGAACACCACGTCATTTACTTTCAACAAAACATCGTGAATCACTTCTCTTATTCCATTCACTAGTTGTTGATGCTCCCTTTGCCGTAAAGCTGATTGCAAGCTCTGAAGGGATGCCTTGGAAGAACACAGCCCATTTTCGAGGTCGGGCTTCCGCGATATAAAGTATAGCAGCACGTAAGGCGGTAAGCTCCGCTGCTGTGGATGTTGTCGTATGCGACAGTTTGAACTTTATAGTGACCTGGAACGTCGGGATGACAGCAGCACCGATGGAGCTGTCAGCCGAGACCGATCCATCGGTTTAAATGTGGGTCCTCTGGCCATATTTTTCGTTGAGTAGCGACAATGTCACGTGTCGTAGGACGACTGTTGAATGACGGCTCTTGTTCGTTATTCCCGGAATAGTGAGGTACACCTGTAGTTGTTGTAGGCACCACAGAGGTGACGCTGGTCTTGTTGCTGGAGTGAAGCCTAAAGGAAGGAATTCTCTATGGGCAGAAATAGTCTTTGAAAACATCGCTTGTGGTCTTTGAAGTGGCAACACTGCAACATGGTGACCAGGAATTCGGCAGAGGTGTCTTATGGGGGCTCTCAAATTGTCAGTGGTGATGCATGTTTGACTTGGATGCTCTCTTGCAATCATAATTGCCCCGTAGGTTGAGGTGCATCGCGGCGATCCTAAGCACACACGTAGTGCTTGTCCTTGCAGACTTTCGAGGGTGCGGATGTTCGTCTTGCACGTACTTGTCAGTAACGGCAAGCTGTGGCGCAAAAATCCCAGAAACAGTGCCCTGTATAGCTGCATCATTGACCTTGTCAATGTGCCCCAAGATTTTTAGCAGAGGAACCACCTTATATGAACCATGGAAGTTAGCCTTCTCTTCAGGTAATTGCAGTGGGCACTCCACGAAAGGCAGAGGTGTTTCGGCAGAGGTGTCTTATGGGGGCTCTCAAATTGTCAGTGGTGATGTATGTTTGAGTTGGATGCTCTCTTGCGATCATAATTGCCCGTAGGTTGAGGTGCATCGCGGCGATCCTAAGCACACACGTAGTGCTTGTCCTTGCAGACTTTCGAGGGTGCGGATGTTCGTCTTGCACGTACTTGTCAGTAACGGCAAGCTGTAGCGCAAAAATCCCAGAAACAGTGCCCTGTATAGCTGCATCATTGACCTTGTCAATGTACCCCAAGATTTTTCGCAGAGGAACCACCTTATATGAACCATAGAAGTTAGCCTTCTCTTCAGGTAATCGCAGTGGGCACTCCACGAAAGGTCCCTGTCAATAATCACACCCAGGAGGTGATGGTTCTTCCGTTATGGAATATTTTGTCCATTGATGGTAACGGGGTATTGTGTCATGGCTCTGCGAGTAAACGCAACCAATGCACATTTCTTCGTTGAGACTGGAAAGACCTTGCTTGCGGAGATATGAGCATGTCAGGGTAACAGCCTGCTGGACTCTTGCACGTACTTGTATGTGAGTTACAGCCGAAGTACATAGACAAATATCGTCAGCATATATGGATATGAGGATAGTACTTGGCAAAACTTCACGAAGTCTTACCATCACGATGTTAAATGAAGTGGAACTTAATACGGCGCCCTGAGGGACGCCACGGGAGGTATACTAATTGGTGGCAGGTTCATCTAAGGTTTGTACAAAAAAAGACCTCCTGGTCAAACAATCCTGGATTCATTTGAACATCCGACCACCGATTCTGACAGCTTCCAACGAGTCTAGGATGGCTCTATGTGTTACGTTGTCATAAGCCCCTTGGACGTCGAGGAAGAGTGCCAGTGGTATGTGCTCGAGGCTCTTCTGATACTGGATAAATGTCGTGAGATCAATCACGTCGTCAAGAGATGACCTACCTCGCCGAAAACCCGTCATGCAATTTGGGTATACGTTGTAGCGCTCGAGGTACCATTCCTAGGCATGTAAGTATCATCCTTTCCATGACTTTTCCTACGCAACTTGCGAGGGCGATAGGGCAAAATGATGTCAAATCAAATGATGACTTTCCCGCTTTGAGTAGTGGCACACGTCGACTTATCTTCCAATCCTGGGGAACAATGCCCGCCTACAACGAGTGGTTGTAATAGCATTACAACTGTCCCCTTGCGTACTCTTGAAAGTTGGCTAGAGGGGCGTAGGTAATGCCATCGGGTCCTGGTGAAGATGATCGTCGGGAAGCCGCCAAAGATGCGTCAAGTTCTATAGTGAAAAGATTGTCCATTTCAGAGATGCCGGGTTCAGGGATAACACTCCTAATGGTGCCAGCGGACAAGGCGGACACACCAGCGATTCGCGTACAGAACTCATTTGCCACTTCAAGTTGGGTGTGGCCTAAATGTAGGGCTAAAGCCATGAAATGATGTCTTTGTTGGCAAGTCAAGCGCAGGCCGCGAATAGTGCTACATATGCGTGACAACGACTTTCGAGGATCCAATGATTCGCAGAATGATTTCCAGGGTTCCTGTTCAAGTTTGTCTAAACGTCATTGGACTTTTTTCTGTGTGCGTCGTGCCAGCTTCAAGTCGCATATTGCTTTCTTCCGCCTGTATCTCCTTTCCGCCCTTCGTCGAAGCGCACACAGTTTTCCAGTTCAACATCGAAATCTGAACGCTTGCCGGTGAACGGGAGAAGACAAGAAGCTTCCCTCATTGCCTCTTTGATGACATCCTCCAAGTTCTGGTCAGGGTCTTCATCGCATGTATTTTACATGAGTCACTGAAATTCGGACCAATCAATTCTTCGTGTTGTGGTCTTAGGAGAGGAGTTAGTAAAACCCCTTATTCGCATATAGGTTGGAATGTGGTCACTCCCATGCGTTTCGATGTCTGAAAACCAGTGCACTTGTGACCGGAAGTTTCTGGATATCAGAGTCAAATCGAGGCAACTGCTGTACGTAAGGCTCCGCAGATGTGTAGGACTGCCATCATTTAAGAAACATAGGTCGGGCTTGAAGGGGAATGACACGAGGTTTCTTCCTTTAGCGTTGATCGTCGAACTACCCCAGATTAAGTGATATGCGTTGAAGTCTCCAGTTATAACCCATGGGCCCGTAGTTGTCAGTATGTCTCGTCATCGGTCTTGTTCAAATCGTCTGGATGGTGATATGTAGGCACCAATAAGTGTGAATGACACTTTTTCCTTTTTAACACGTAAGCAGACATACTGATTGTCATTATGCGGTTGAACTGCGTGATGCGCATATGTGAAATCTGTGCGACTGTAAACAACCACCTCGCTGCATTCCTCGCACGTTGAAGAAACAAAACCTTCATACCCTGATAGTTTAGGAGGTTGTTGCACGTTTGGTTCACATATAACCATTATAGGAATACGATTCATGAATATATACTGACGGAATGGAGAGATGCGAGATCTCAGGCCTTTCGCGTTCCCCTGCATTATCGACGCTTGTTGGACCTCGTTGCGGAAGGAGAAAATTGGTCGAGCCATGGTTGCTACTGGAGAGTTGCAAATACGGGACATAGAGCATCCAGTACTTGTAATGCACTTTGAGCGAGTGGAGACTTCAGGCTGCTGCACAGCTTTCGCATGGCATCCAGGAGTGTTCGGAACATTCTGATGACTTCTGTGTCCTCCTCAGGCAGCTTGTCAGTGGCTGGCTGGAGGGATGTGATTGTCGATGTGCGCTTGGAATTCGCAGGTGGCTGTGATTTCGGATATGAAGGCCAAACTGATTCATCTGCAACATTGCTGTTCGTTGGTTTGTTGACTGTGTTGGCCGCCTTCGGTCTGGGAGGCAAGGGCGGTGGAAGAGAGGGGTGGTGGAGTGGCGCTTTCGATGCAGCGTCTGCGGCATTCTTTGATGAACTGCGGCGATGATGACGCCTCTTTCGGACGGTCCTGGCAGCCTCTCGATGCGACGAATTGTCTCTGACCATTTGTTTCAATACGGCTATTTCTCTTTGCATTTGGGGCATTCTTTTGAAGAAGCTGCATGTGACCCATGACAATTCGAGCATTTGAGGGTAGTTGCTTCGCATTCATCCGCAGAATGGGCTTCCTGCGCAACAAGGACACACCGTCCAATTTTCGCATACGCTTCTCACGTGGCCCATCTTCATAGACTTATGACACTGTAAGGGCTTTGGTACGAAAGGTCGCACAGAATGCTAAAAATGGCCCATCTTTGCGTTTGAAGGAAGAGAGTCACCCTTGAACATGATCTTCAAGCAGCGCGAGTTTCCCAAACAGACAACTTTTGCGATGACGCTGGCTTTATTTGCCGGTTTGACCAGAACATCGAAAACGGAGCTGGAAATGGCAGTATCCACATCGTAGATGACTCAGTGACGACGTTAGAGCTCACAGGAATGTAGGAGCGAGCAATCATTCCCCCCTGCTCGTTGACGTTGCGCAGTATATTAAGTGCCGCAGCATGTAAAACGTCGATGGCCAATACGTTCTTACGCGTGTTCACTCTGATGTCTGTGATCTCGTTTGGCACGAGTCCTTACAGCATCATCCAAACAGATTGCCTGTTGAGGCTCTTCATGTTACCGTCCGGCACCTCAGGGACAAAAGTGATAGTGTTTGTCACGGGTCTCCTTGGCACTCTGTCATTCAACGTACTCGATGACGAAGACGTTCTGACGTTCCACCTCTTCGCTTTACGGCTCAGCACCAGCTTAAAATCGTCGTCGTCGGAAGGCTCTTCGCTGCTCATTGGGTAAACAAGAGTGCCCTCGCTGTCGTAGTCGCTGTAGATTCCCGAACGCTTCCTGGATGCGGCCACCGCCGACGTCGCCGTATCTGGCGGACGTCCGTGGGGGTCCACGTCTATCACCGACGGACACGGATGTGATATTCGCGAAGTTCACTTATAATTAGGCGAAAAAAGAGAGCACTTAGTGAAACAGCAATCTGCTAAGCAGTCACTTCGTCGTCGTCCTCCCCACAACACGTATGTACAACATGTTCTAATCACAACAAATAATTTATCGCATGCTTTCATTGCTTTGATCGCCTGTTGGCTGTCATTGATGACGTGTGTAACGATTAACAAGAGCCATTGAATTTTTCCTCTTTCGTTGTGCCTAGTAGTTGAGTGCCATGTTCATTGCTCATTGGCCAATTAAGATGGCCACCTCACTTCGCAATCACGTGGCCTAAGAGCTTCGACACAACAATGCAGGAAATTTTTAGCAATCTTTTCGGTTTACGCTTCATTTTTCTGCGTAGCTTTGTGCGGTGGAAGCTATAGGATTGCTCAGTGCAGTTGTAATCCCTTATAGTTGTGCTTCCGAAAACAGCTCAGGAAACATGCAAGAATTCTTAAAAAATGTTTTTGTAAGTACTCTTTCTCGTTGTACTTACAGTGAGTCATCGGAGTTTCCCGAATACAACTTTTGCAAGCAACATCGCTACGGTAGGTGCACGGAAAGCGAGAGAAAGGAGTTCTCTAGGATGGAAAGAGGCTACGTGGCGCTTCGTGAAGAATTAACTTCAGCACAAAACTGCGAGTGTAGGTACCCACCTGCGTTCCAACTTGCCAGTGCGCTTAACTTTGTGATCAAGAAACGGAAATCAAAACAGGTGCACACCAACGAAGATAAACTGGCGATGCAGTAGGCTTAGTGCACTGCGTGGGTGAGCGTGACAGATTTCTTGTGATTAAAATTAGAAACAAGTAAATATATGCAGGCTTTAACGAGAAGGACCGATTAATATAGGTCATTATGAGGGACAAAAATATACACGAAGAGTTGAAAAGCGAGGATGTGGATACGTGGAATGAATATTAATTGAGTATATGGGGGAGAGTGAAGCGATGAAATATGCAAAAACCGTATACCTAGCGTGCGTTGCTACGTTGCTTTTGTACTATGTGTAAGCTCACTTGGTTGCTACGCAACCAAATGAGCTTACGCATGGCAGGTTGCGTTGGTGAGCTTTGGTGAATACCTTCGTCCCCTGTAGACACAAGATATTGGTTGATTTATATGCGGGGTTTAACGTCACAAAACCAGCATATGTCTGTGAGAGACGCCGTAGTGGAGGGCTCCTGAAATTTCGACCACCTGGGGTTCTTTAACGTGCACCAAAATCTGAGCACACGGGCCTACAACATTTCCGCCTCCATCGAAAATGCAGCCACTGCTGCCGGGATTTGATCCCACCTGCGCGTCAGCAGCCGAGTACCTTAGCCACTAGACCACTGCGGTGGGGCCAGGCACAAGATAGGCTGATGATTTCATGCGTATGATGACAAGAACATGCACTATTACAATGTGTCGGATTATTTTTTTCTTTGTATTTTTCTCTATATATTTATAGTTTGTGTCCTTCCTGTAATAACCCCTAAAGGGATTGGCAGTATGTACTAAATAAATAAACTAATAAATAGTGCATCAAGGTAACCACATAGCCAATCGTTTCAGAATTTGAAAGAACAATATCGTGACAATTAAAAATATGCTCTACTATTTTGAAGGTGGCTATATTTGATGCAGTAGAGTCAGTAGAGACCGAAGACAGGAGTTGGAATGGCGGTTGTGATGGCTATGTTTCAAGAAGACGAAGCTTTGCAGCAGCGATAACTTGTCGCACATTTCACGAGGCAAAATTGTTCATTTCACAAAAGCGTTATATGAGTTCTCCACGAAGAAGTCATTGTGAAAGCAATTATTCTGGCACTTTAGAATATATGGGGTGAACGAAACTAACTCTTCATCAAGTACACTTCTAAAGAGTTCTCCGGATGCACTCCACTGGGTCTCAGTGGCTGGAGAGTTTGTTCTATTCGCATGTATACTTACTTCATGTTTTTTTTTTACTTTCGTTTTTTTACTATGCAGCTGTGGCACAGCTTCGCGAATGCATCGATCTCAACGTGATGCGCACTTGCAGTGTCAGCCTTGATATGAAAAGTGGCACTTTGGAAGATCAGGTGCCTGAACAGAACAGGTGAACTTGACCTGTGTGGCATGTGCTATAACCGAATGACATTTCAATTCAGAATAGTGTCAGCCACCAAACTGGTCGGTATTGCTAGCGCACCACAATTATTCCTAGCATGCGAGGAGTGCTTGCTGATTACATCGGGGTGTAGTATGCGAATAACTAGTGAAAATTCTTTTGACTAGTAAGTAATCCCTTTGAATGCCTGACTTCTCTTACTCAATCATTGATGATTGATATGTGGGGTTTAACGTCCTAAGACCATTCTCTTACTCAATCACATATCACCTCCGCAGCACAGGTTTGTGGTAGGTGGCACGCCGTATTCTTTATTTGTTAACCAATTTTAGACGCCATATTTCGCTTATGCTGAAGGTTCAGGTTTAGTCTTATTTGGCTCACTTTTAGCGACACTGACGGATATTTCCCACGCTCAATTTGAACATAATTACATATATATGTTTTAGTAAATCTTGTTGTTGGGTTAGTGGCTGCGTGTTACAAGAAAAGTACTCAACACAAACCTCCGGGAAAGAATAAGAGTAAGAAAACAGCGTCAAAAAGATGATTTCTTTTCACCTATTCCTCCCCGGTAGTTACCTTGGCATGTGCTAATTATTTGGTTCTAACGTTTGTGCGTACGCACTTCACATATTTAGCCTGTAGTATTTTAGTATGACCAGATAGATAATGGAATGAATTCCACTTTTTTTCTGGCACAGGTAAGAGCTGTCTCTGAAAGTCTTTGCAGCTAGAGTTGAATAACGCGCACTGGGACCATAGGGTGTTCCGATCACAGTTGAGTCACAGCTGAAGCAATATTTTAGCTCGTTCAGCAATCAGGAATAATTAAGTGATTCCTACATAAAAAGAGTGCAGAGGTGATATTTCACCATGAATCGTGGAAGTTAAACACATCGATTCTCAGAATAATTATTTGTTGTGTTGAAAGGCGTCAGAAGTGTATAGTTGTGCAGGTGATTCGAAGATATATAACACCTATTCACAGTTCTTTGTATCAATCATTAGCAACACTTGCTGTATCCAGAAGCGTTATTCTGATCCACAATAAAAGGTCTTGTTACGACTTTCTTTCCACGTCGTTTCCTGCAGGGGAGCACAAAACTTGAAGGGATGCGTCGAGGCAGCGGTTAAAACGTGTGGCGTGAAGAAACACCATGCCGCGATCTCCCACCTGCTGAAGATTGTTGACGCCATTGTCGAGCTGTCCTGGTTACCTCTGATGCAAAACGCTGCTTACCCAACGAAAAGTGCAACAGCGGCGATTGCAGCATGCCTCCTGGGATTGGCTGTACGGAGCTATGTGTAGATGAGCACGCATGTATTCAAGCCTCCCCCCCCCCCCCCCGCAGTCACGGATCATGGTCAATGAGACATTCGGTTCTTCATACCAGACAATTAAAGACCCCATGAGAAACGCGCCCGTGAATGGGATTATACGAATCATCTGAAGACTGCTCTTAGCATGCAGTTGCGTTCAGAGTGAAAAATATATGGAAGAAAATAAATACGTTAAGACTACATGTACATATTCTAAGAAATGGCCAGTGTGGCATGACTCAGGCTTTGATACAGCAACAGCACAGTTGCACTCTTCTTTTCTAGCTCAGTTATTGCGATGACAATTACATGTACACTCTGAGCTGTTTTTCGTCGTCGCCGTCATGTCGTATGTATGCATACGTATCAATACATATACAAGGCCACAAAGAAAAGGAATAAAAATTGGCCCTGTATCTGCATGTTATACTGCAATTGTCGTCGAAAGACGACAGTCTTTCTTGCGTCTGGAAAGAGTGCACAAAGCATTTATTTAATGTTCGGTGCAAGAAAATTGGTAAATGGTATTCTGTAGGCGCTGCGTTAGAGTGCCTTGAGCGTGCAGCGGAGGCGAACGAGCGTATCAAGTCAAGCCACACGTAAGACATGAGCGCTAAGTGGCAGTTATCTTGGAAAACAAAGCGGGTGGCATGCGCGCTCATCTCTGAGGTGATAACTTGTAGAACGCAAGGCGACGGGTAGGTGCCACCACCGTGTCGTCTTAGCAAAACGTTGGAAACACTCGCCTGCTCGTGCAAGTGTTGCATGGTCGGCGCAGCGTAATAAACGCTACGGTCCTAAGAATTTCTTATGTATGCCTTTTCTAGTAAAAATACACGTACATAATATTGACGTGTTGTTATGGGGCCTAAGATATGCATAATAATTGCTTTTTAATTGACAATCGCATAAGTATGAGCGCTGAACTTTCAGCAATATTGGTGGGCACTGCGGATGGGGTCAGCCGCTTGGAGTATCGTTTGGTCAATATGATGCCTTTTAAGCTACTGTTAAGGGCGGACAAACGAACAGTTGTACAGACATACAGACAGACCAGAATGTTTGCGCCGAAGGTCTCCAAGAAAAACTATCGTCTTTAAAACAAATTGATGCGCGCCACCAGGATCAGAAGCTGTGAACCCTCGCTGCACCCGGTACAGCATTAGACCACTTTGCCACGTCCATATTTTTTTGCTTTATTATCTGTTCTTAGACGTATATAGTGTATAAATCAGACGACAAACTTGTGCAAGTAACAACAAAGAGCTGGGTCCTTCTTACTAAATGAATCCCCGCCCCCACTCCCACAAAAGAAAAAGAAAGAAAACGCCGGGCGCGTCATACGCTACAGCGCTGCAGAGGCCCAGCGGTTTAAAATTCTCGCAGAGATGCAAAGGGTTTCACCCTCGGCAATCATTCAGATACAAACTATTGAGCTTTCTGCAGTTCGACAAACTTTACCATACACTCGAAAATGCAATCATGCGCAATAAAATCTCGCCTTACGAGCCCATCATAAACCATGAAGACTATTTAGCTTGATGGAGTCGAAAGCCTATCGCACTTAATCATCTGTTGTAAGAAATCTTATACTATTTGGATTTCACGGTAAATTGTTTTTTGTCGTGCTTTGAGGTTTGGCGCCAAAAATATGCCTTCTTACAAGTAAAAAAAAAAACGTTTTATGTTGTAGACACCTTTTTTTTCCAGATGAGGCAATCTCATTCTATTCCTCAAGGGAACAGAAAGCCACGGCATTCTACTTCGCCACTTGCCATCCGTTGTCACACTAAAGAGAAGTAGTTGCGAGTGGGGGTGGTGAAGTGATTATAATATAAAAAAAATAAAACAAAGTGAGACCCGCAACTGCCAGCACCAGAGTACGAGGCCTCAGCAGTAGCTCACAAAAGAAGGACTAAGAAGAAACTAAAGGAGAGAGGAGTAAAGTTTGAGAGAAAAGAAAAAGTTTGCGATATGGATAGACAAGTCCGTGAATGGAGCCCTGATCGGCGAACCGTCGCCCATTAGATGACATTGCGGACGAGACAGACATCACGGAAAAAATCCATCGAGCGTCTCCGGTGAGCTGTTGATATACACCATTTACCCTTTGTAGTGTCTACATCTTGGAGAAACTTCAGCGTATTCACCAGAGATGTGCTGCATTCTTTCAGACTCACACGAAAAAAAAAGGACCCATTTTCGTACGCACCCATGATGCAAAATGAATAAAAGACATGACTGATGCTTCTTTCATAGGAATCAGTGTAGCACAATAGTGAAGACTGTTTTCACAGAAGTAGTGCAAATAGTGTAGTGATTATGAGAATTTTCCCTTCGTCTACTGAAGTTTTGCAGTCATGTCATTGTGCTATGTCACCACGCCCACAACGACGCCAGTGGCACTTCTCCATCGCGACGGCTAAGACCCTTTATCATGGTTTAACCATCGTGGTCGCTGAAGTTGTTAAGCTGTAGCTGAACACAGCTTATCGTGAATTCGATGCATGGATGTCCTCAACAAGTACATAATAAACACCGGTACTTGATATTTTTCTCAAAGCGTCGTTAATTAGGGAGAAAAATGGCACGATGTGCGCTCCCAAGTACTGTATGGTAACCAGATCCTGTGGTCTTCCATGCACTACCATACTGAGCTTCGACATAATGGGAGGCAGAGGTTCGTCGCATGAGCGCGAACGCGCGCAAGGTTCCACGCCCTGCTGGCCTTTGTCTCGCTACAAAGCACAAATTCATGGGCCGGAACTGGTGTAGGCATGTAGTGATCACTACAGGGGTCAACCATGAGGTTGGACCACTTGACCCAGCTGACGTTTTTTTGCAAAAGTGAGGTCTTGTACAGTTTCAGGCGGTAGATGCACCCTTTATGATCGCCAATGCCATCTTTGGCCCTTAAGAGAAGCTGAAACTATTCGTTTCTTGGCAAAGACGTTTTCTTTCAGGTCGTGTCGATCGTGTACGTAGTTTCATGCATGAAAAGGGGCGTTAAGTCCCTAGGCACTATGAAAGATGAGTAGCCCGCCAGCTTGACCACATTGGTGATTGGTGATTACACGGTTTTGAACCACTGCCTGTGTTTTTTCGGGCTGCTGTATACGCTGAGAACGTCAAAAATATGCTTTTTGCTTCATTTAGGATGATTATATTAACTGGCAGAACTATATTTCTGGGCGGAATTCTTAAATTGCGGACAATGAACGTGTGCTTGTTCCTAACCAGTGGGTAGATGCCCTTGCCTTCTCCGTACCTCGGAAGAATGGTGTAGCTTGCTCACGTTTCTTGCTGTAATATGCGGATTTTCTTGGTGAGTGCGAACAAACTGTTGTAGAATAAGCTACTTCAGCTTTTCTGTTGAAAACTCTGTGCAGTTCCACCGCCAGATTTTGTATTCCCGTATTTTTGTAACTCTGGGAGATCGCCGAAGGTGAAAGAACCAGGAAATGACGGGTGTGCCAAAGTTTCAGGGAATGTCTGTAACAGCAAAACTATCAATTACTCATACAACATGTAGTGGTATTGTCTTAGAACATTTATCCCGTTATTCTAACCACCAAGCGTGAGAAATGTCGGAAGCGCCGCTGGTGTTCACGTCAGTTGTCAGTGAATCGGCAGAGGATGGCAGGGTACTGAACAAAGGCACGTTTGGATGTTGCAGAAGTTCGGACGGTACCACGATGTACGTGTTGATGATGTGGACTTTGACTCACTGATAGTCTCTCTCGGTAAAGGGCTTCATGATATCCCACCAGCAAATGTCGACATCTACCGGAGGTCTGAGACGACAATATAATCAGGTGAAAAGCGTGCGAATTTCGGAATAACTATTATTATTTGTTAATGCTGTGATGTTCACCGCAATCGCCACAATGCTACAGATAGAATTCTTCCTTGTTATGAAGGAGGCACAATACATAGAGCGAGCGCATGGCTCGTCAATAGCGTTTTGCTGACTTCGTGCTCTCTGTACTCGCGCAACTTCCATGATTTCTTTGTTTTTGTCTTGTTTCTTAGGTCGCTGCAGGATTCGCATTTGTAATTACTTATGTTTACGTTTGCTTTGTATACCATTAGTTTGCTTTAGTGTTACGACTGCACTGCCACCACTGTATGCCCTTCTAAGCAACATCTTGTCATGTAATGTTTGAGTACAGTATTTTAAAGGGGTCATGACAAGGTCACCGAACAATTTGCGGTTGTTGACAAAAAAAAAAACTAAGGTAGAGATTCGAATATGCTTGCACACGTGTGAAAACTGGAGAGTGAAAGATTATTTCAGTTCAAAATAAACCGTAAAAGTCTTCGGCTGTAAACTCCGCCTACGGCCGGTGACCGCCATTTTGTATTGGGGTACGTGACTTCACTAACCAATAGAAGCAATGTCATCGTCTGCTACCGAACGGCACCTTCAGCACGTAGTCAGTGTGTTTACTGAGTTGCGAGTGTTGCTTGCCGCTTGGTCTGCAAGTGTTGGGGAATTAGTACCGGTACCATCGCCGTGTCGTCGGCACCGTCATCAGCTCACTATTCGGGCGAAGATTCATCCAGCAGCAGAAGCGGTGAAGACATCTTGCACTCTGTGCATTTTGATTTCGTCCTCATCACCACCACCTCAAGTGATGAAGAAAGCGTCGAAGATGGGGCGAACCAACGCTACTGCTATCGACAAATCCACTTACCTCTTTCCCTTGACGCTATTCAAAAGCACTCCGGTACTTAGCTTGGTGGACGGGATGGTGCGAAAACACGGTCGGCACAGCGTTCGGCCGCAGCCTTGGCTTTTTCCCTGGTATACCAAACTCGTCGATAAGACACTGGTCGTCATTGTAGCTGTCTGCCGTGAAGTACGCTGAGCGCAAAACAGACGTGTCACTTGCGCACGTCGATCTCACAAGCCTTGCGTTTGGCGGGCACTTTAGGGAGCTTGAAGAATGACGCAGTACTCACGCTGTTCTGCATGCTCTGGCACCCCACAGCGCAGCATGGGCGACGCGGTGGTATTGCTTCAACTGCTGCAAGTCATTCAGTTCCAGTGGCATGTTGAATAACTCTGAAACAACTGGAATGCAAGCGCAGCTGACCATGAAACGCGATCGCCCTCCAGACTGCACACCATGCAGAAGCTCGTGGAGCAAACAATTCGTTACGTCACGGCTAGTGAGCGTGCCAGTGTTGCCCGACCACTAGGCCGCTCGCTCGTTTA